AGATGTCCAGGTGATCTGAACGTGCATTAAAGTTAAAGGAGTGCCGTACAGATTTGCACAGTTCCCTGGAGAGGTTTGGGTCTTCCCTTCATCTTTGGTAGCTTGTTGGAGGTGGTGGTGACGGCCACAGCCTTGGCACCACTCCCTCACGTTCTAGCCGTGGTTAGGTTGAGATTGAGATAGTGAGGCAACAGAGGAGACAAGAAAGTCAACTCCAGAGCCTTGGACAGCGAGCCCAAGCCTGCAGGATGCCATCTGTAAGTTTGGCTGTGTTGTCCAAATTCTTTTGAGGCTCATTCAAGAACAAGGGGGTAAACAGAGTCAAGCTAGAGGTCTGTAGTACTTCTTTATGGGTCTCTGATGTGCCTCCTTACCAGCATAAGTGAGTGCAAGTGATATCCTCTGAGTGGTGTCCTTTGGAAAAGGAAGCTTGCTTTCGTTAGAGGGAGAAACTTCGGACAGTGATTTTTGGAGGGAATTTGAATGTATACTTACCAAGATAGAAAGTATTTACTGATTTCTTCACCAGCCCAGTCTGGAGAGAACAGAGTCATACAAAAAGATTTTTAAAAAGTGTTTCTGCCATTGTACCAAGCATAAAAATGCTAAATTAGCTGTCAGCGTGAGAAGAGTCCTGCTCAGATACTTAGAACTTCTCGTTGAGTGAAACCCCTCCTCTGTCTTGTGCTGTTAGGATTTCTGGGCTGTTGTTACTTTCTGTCCCAGACCTGACTCACAGGCCTGGATCATACATACGAAGCATGTGATTTTTCAGTGCCTTTGATATTAGCTTGCTATGGGAAAATCCTGTGAAAGAAAAAGATGGGAAATTTTGTGAAGACACATGGAGAGACACAGAGCCGGATCCCTAACTGTGACATCGCTGAATAAAGGGTCTTCCTTCCTCATTGGATGCAGGAGCTTTGCTAGCTGGATGGGGCCTATCCACAGCAAGGGCTTGGGGTGCTCCTTCAGCCCTAAAGTTAGAAAGGAAGGTTTTGAGAAGCCTTTCAATTTCAGCGTTATCCTGAGCAAAAATCTTCCCAGAAAGGTTGGTAAGACAGCACTGGACAGAAATGTGTGTCAGAAGTGCAGAGTTCCTTTTCATCAGCACTTTACCAAGTGCTCCATCTTTTCATACCTCTGAAGCATGTGAAGAAGGCAGCTTTCTTCCCATCTCAGTGTTATTGTTCCAGGCTGTTTGGAGAGATGTGACGATAGCCAAGTTCCTGTTAGCCAAAAATGTGCTTTGTTTATAAACCCAAGTTTTGTTTTTGCTTTTGTGCATGTTATCGGTTTGATCTGTGTTACCAAAAGAACATTGAAAATAACGAATTGCTTTGATGAGAATTCCAAGGAATAATGGCAAACAAGTGTGTATATACAACAATACAAAAACAGAAATATGTAAGCTGGGCACAGTGGCAGGCCCCTCTAATCCTGGCTACCCAGGAGGCTGAGGCAGGATGAACCCGTGGGCCCAGGAGTTGGAGCTGTAGTGTGCTGTGATCACACATGTGAATGTCCAGTGCAGTCCAGCCTAAACAACCTGGGGAGACCCCACCTGTAAAACAAAAAACAGACAGAAAACCCCAGAGATACACAGAACCAACAAGAATACCACATACTTTTCCCATTTGATACAATGAGGTAAGAGGAGAAAGTTAACGCCCAGGGTAGTTCATTTAAGAATGCGTGAAAAACACTGTCAAAGGATGTTGTCGTCTATTCCTTTTCTCTTTTGAAACTGTGTAGTAATAAAAGGATGCATCTTTTTAGCACAAAAATGTGGGAAGGGTAATTTTCCCCTAGTCGTATACAAAAGTACTTACTCCCAAACGGGGCCATTCTTTTCTATTGAATGCCCTGTTGGTCTTTCGTTATTCTGGTTTGAGATTTTTATGGAGCTTGGCTTATGGGGTAGTCAGATAAGCCATTCTACTAAACGTGGCCCTTAGATCTTTTGCCCTTTGGAGGGAGTACATCTTTTACATCCATACAGGAGCAGCTATTTTCTGTATTTCTTTCACGAGTGTAGAATTTCCCTTAAATTTAATATCCAAGCTTATTCTCAACGTCCAGCACCCCTTTAACTTAGTTGCGTGCGGACCCCCATGTGGTCCAAGGGGACTTTCTTAAAAGCTCTAGCAAGTGTAGTTGATGGGAAACTTTATTTCAGTTCCCGTTTGCACCTTCGATCGCAGATGGTGCTGGGATCAGGTGATGGGCATTAAGAGACCTGCCTTTTGACTTGAAAGTTCAGCACTTGCTCAACCAAAAATTATCTGTAAATGTGAAGTGTGTCCCGTTGGTCAAAGTGGAAAGTGGGGAGGAAGGGAAGGCCAAGGAAAAACATCCGTGTGATGTTAAATAATGTTTGACTCATTTGCTATTGAAAACACTTTCTTTTGTGTATTCAACAAATGTATTTGTTTTAAAAGGGAAAAATCAACTTGTCAACTATTGTTTCTTAATTGTGATGCCATAAAAGACTTCCTGGAGGTTAAGGAAAACATTCATTTTCAGAATGTAGTCTAGGCTGCTGTTTTTTCTTTTATAGAGACGGAATCTCGAATCTCGCTAGGTTGCCCAGGGTGCTCTTGAACTCGTGGGCTCAAGCGATCCTTCTACCTCAGCCTCCCGAGTAGCTTGGACTGTAGCACACACCTGGCTAATTTTTTTTGGAGAGTCAGGATCGTGCTACGTTGCCCAGACTGATCTCGAACTCCTGGGCTCAAGCAATCCTCCCAGCTCGGCCTCTCAAAGTGTTGAGATCACAGGTGTGAGCCCCCATGCCTGGTGCTAGGCTGCTTTCTTGAATGCAGTCTCCTCTGGCCGGTTGGCCTTTCTCTCCCCTCCCACATCCCCAGGGGCATTGCTCTCCATGGGCAAAGGCTGTTCCTGCATCTTTCTCTGTCCACCATTGACCCATTTGCTGTGGGCACATACTGCTGCAGGTGGTGGAGACAAGGACCCAAGTGAGGAGGGCTGGTGCCAGGTCCGGTTGCTGGAGCTGTGTGATAGCTTTGGAGTTTACTTTCCCTCATTACCCCACACTCACATGTCGTTGCCTGTGGTTTTGTCTTTGCTCTCTCCCATGCAGATCCGGAGTTAGGTGTTGGCACGCTACCAGAACATGACAGCCAGGATGCAGGGCCAATTGTCCCCAAGATATCGGGTCTAGAGAGAAGCCAGGAGAAGAGCCAGGACTGTTGCAAAGAGCCGATCTTTGAGCCTGTGGTGCTTAAAGACCCCTGCCCTCAGGTCGCACAGCCGATACCCCAGCCCCAGACGGAGCCCCAACTCCGAGCTCCTTCTCCAGACCCTGACTTGGTGCAGCACACAGAGGCCCCACCTCAGCCCCCACCTCCGATTACACAGCCACCACAGGGCCCTCCTGAGGCCCAGCTCCAGCCCGCCCCGCAGCCTCAGGTGCAGAGGCCACCCAGGCCACAGTCCCCCACCCAGCTGCTCCATCAGAACCTCCCACCTGTGCAGGCCCACCCCTCCGCTCAGAGCCTCTCCCAGCCATTGTCAGCCTACAACAGCAGTAGCTTAAGCCTCAACAGTTTAAGGTGAGTGGCCTGCTCTTCTTTGGCCTGAGTTTTGCCCTCTCCCTGGGGATCAGGTGGGTGGGACTCGGGGAGGGATCCCTAGGGAGACTGAAGTTTCCTTGTTGGAAACATCATCCCTTTCTCTGAGACTAGAGACAGGGAATGGGGCTGTTGGGTGAGACTCGGGTCTCTTGGGAAAGGACAGGTTGGGATGGGTGGGTGGTGAGGACATTGTAAGGAAGGAAAATATTTTAGGCACTCGAGAGAGCGGAGGCAGAAGGTGAGGAAGGCGTGGAAAGTCCTGGGCCAGGGAGACCCAGCAGCAGTGGGAGGCAGGAAATCGAAGCCTGGGGCATATCAGAGGCCACGCAGTGTGAGCAGATCCTTTCAAGGCAGGCTCTTGCAAACTGTGACAGAAGAAGTATTAAAGAAAACTTGTCTCCCTGCAGTTCCAAAGGCAGGAAGATTGGGAGCCAATGAGTATCCCAGTTTAAGGATTTTTTTTTTTTTTTTTTGGTTCTGATTTACTTCCTCCTATGTGGGTCAGAGAAGTAGGGAAGAAAGAAAACAAGCTGCGTTTAGAGAAAGTGAGAAATTTCTGTATGGAAATCCAGGCTCTCCTCGGTCTTGTTTTTGCCAAGTTACAAAGAAACGTCTAAAAAGCAGCACAGAGGAACACAGCAAAGAAAAGAGAGGCAGAAACCCAGTGTGCAGCGCCAAGTGGAGCCAACCCTTGGTGCCCCCGGGGGCTATAATTCTAACCCGGCACAGCTCCTGAGGCTGTGTGTCTTTGTTACTGTTTTCCTTTTGAAAACCTGGAGGCTTTGGTGGTTCCGGGCCTTGCTATTTCCTAAGAGGCAAAGGCCCAGTCTTTGGGAGGCAGGTTTCTTCCCCAAGGAGCCAGGCCCGGCTTCTGACCCCTCGGCCGTTTCTGTGGTCTCCAGACCATAAAGTGATGTGAGAACCCAGGCACCTGGGTTTCACCTCTTCTTTGTGTGTCTTCATTTAAGAGGTAACAAGACAGATGGGGTGAACTCAGATCATCGCGTTTTTTATTCCTTTGTGTTAACTGTTACTTTATAGGAGATGTAGCTAGTGGAGAATGGAAGGCTGGGGATTTTCTAGGGGCAGAGATGAGAATCTGGCCACAGGAACGAGAGAGGCCCTGAGGTTTAGGCAGAATGAGCTGTCTCGACATCAAGATGCCCCACAGCCCTGAAGCAGCAGTTTCGGTTTGCTCTGTCTGCAGTAACGATGGGAAAGTTTGCAGGAGTTGTAATTTCAGAAAGTGTGTGCATACAGGGAGGATCTGTAAAGAGGAAGGGGCAAGAGAGACTGTGGTGAGGGTTTAGGGGAAGGAGACAGGATTCTTTAAAAGCGAATACATAGCTTACCTTTTTTTATTTTTTTCTTTTCTGTTTTTTCTTGCTCCGATAGCAGTAGCAGAAGCAGCACTCCAGCAAAGACTCAGCCCGCCCCTCCTCACATCTCCCACCACCCCTCTGCCTCCCCATTCCCCCTCTCCCTGCCCAACCACAGCCCCCTGCACAGCTTCACACCCACCCTCCAGCCCCCCGCACACTCACATCACCCCAATATGTTTGCCCCTCCCACTGCTCTGCCTCCTCCACCACCACTGACATCAGGAAGTCTGCAGGTGGCCGGACACCCGGCCGGGAGCACTTACTCAGGTAGGACGAAGGAGCCTGTGCTCATGACCCCGACACCCACCACCCCTGGCTGTGACCTCACCCTACCTATGTTGTCCCGATTGCAAGGTTGCATTTGCCTACAGTTTTTTCCTTCCTTACTCTAATCTTCCTCAAACGCTCTCTGGCCTGAGGTCCAGCAAAAATACCTGTCAGCACCCATACTAAGCTTAGCTCAGCCCCTGTGAACCTGACACTGCCCGAAGAGAGGTGGTTTGTTTGGAGTTAGGAGGCATTTCCAGCTAAATTCAGCCACTGAGTGGTCAGACGCAGGTAGCGTGTGTCCTGTGTCGTCTGGGCTCTCCTGAGAGCGATGGAAACGTCCCCAAGCCCATGTCTGTTTCGCTCCAGGATCTTAGATTGCGTCCTGGTTTAAGGGGTTTCTTTTCACTGGGCAGGGCCTTCTCTGGTCTCCTTGGGAGGAGATGACACACTCTTTGTGACAATATATCCCAGAATTTTAAGGGCAGACCTCATGTTAGACACAGGGTCCTTGTCTCCTCACCTGTGTTAATCAGGTCAAGTGTCCCAGTTCTGGTCCAGTGTAGCCATGGTATGCTGCTAATATAGAGAGCCATATAGCAGTAATTGACACTTAAAGAGGGCGTGCAAGCCCTGCCATGTGAACAGCTGACATTTATTAGTGTGCTGTCACTGTTTCCAAGCACTTAAATGTGCAAATTGCTTTAACCCTCAAAAATCAAACCCATGAGTTAGGCAGTATTATTGTCCCCCTCTTGAAGATGGGAAAACTGGCCCTCGGATGGGTTATTTGCCCTGCCCAGGGTCACTCAGCTGGTGGTGACAGCTGGAAATCGGACTCTGGCGTTTGGCCTGGAGCTTTTCCCCAAATCGATAGACTGCCTGTCCCTGAAAGCTGGGAGACCAGCTAGAGAACAGGGAGACAGGGTGCGACTGGGCCTTGGTCTCCTCTGCTTCATTGATTGCCCCCTTTTATCTCAGGGCCCAGCCGCACCCTGTCACCCCTGCCACTGTGTCATCAGCCCCGTATCCCTCCACAGGAAGGCACTCCGATGTCCTGTTCTGAAGGAAAAGGTGTCATTGTCTCCCTCTTCTTCTCTTCCAGAGCAAGACATCTTGCGACAGGAACTGAACACTCGTTTTTTGGCCTCTCAGAGTGCTGACCGCGGGGCTTCGCTGGGCCCTCCGCCCTACCTGCGGACCGAGTTCCATCAGCACCAGCACCAGCACCAGCACACCCACCAGCACACGCACCAGCACACCTTCACACCGTTCCCCCACGCCATCCCGCCCACCGCCATCATGCCGACGCCAGCACCTCCCATGGTGCGTACCCCAGGCAGAAATGTGAGGATAAGTAGAGCACGACTCTTTTCTTTATGCAGCACGTGGGACCGGGCTGGGCAGCGGGGCCACCAGAGATCGAATGGGGAGTGACGGCTGTTTGCTGGAGAGAAGGGAATGTGTCTAGTACCCTGCCTCAGGCAGCTCTGACTTCAGGGACCTACAGTAGGAACTTCTTTCTAGGCAGTGGTATCCAGCACTGCCGGTGGAAATGATTCCATCTGCCCTCAAAACAGTCGTGCCCAGTGTTGATGGCTAACTTCTTAAAGGGTTGTTTTGTTTTTTTGAGCATCCCGGGAGACTGTCACCAGACAGAAAATGCACCTGCTTGTGCTTTGCACCAAGTGCTAGCACATACATTCTTGCAGGGTAATGGGGATGAAGAAGAGAAGGGAGAGAGACCTCAGCCAGGAGGCTGGGACTGCGTTGGGTGCTACATCCACCTGCGCATTCCGATGGCTTCCCTAAACCCACTTTGTTGGAGGTGTTGTATTTCTTGTGTTTCATAAGACAGTACCTAATCTGGTATTGTGCTCTGTCAGCAAGTGTTCAGGGATCCCTGCAGGGACAGAACTGTCTGCCTTGGGGCAAGAGGAACCACTGGCCATGACATGGTCTTGGTCTTCACTGGGGGCTAGCACATGTCCAGAACCAGTTAGGAATTTCTTTTTTTAAAGTGAATAACCATAATTAATAGTGCCATATTAGAATGGTAAATATTCTCAGATAGAGTCCTGTCTAACAGTGAGTATTAGAGTCATTTTTTACTTAATTTTCAGTATTTCAGAAAATACTGGATTTTAAGGTCATCACTATAGGCATTATGAGAATAAATTGCATGATTTTAAAAGGAGTCCACTTCACCCAAGTTTGCTTCCTCTCCTTCCTCTCCCTCCCCCATCTTATTCAACTTACTTTTTAAAAATATGTTTTTAAAGTTTGTTTTATAAATTTCATTTCAAGGAATATTAGCAATGAGGCCTTGTGACCAGAAATATGTTTTTAATAGCAAATCCTGTATCTCTTTTTTGGATGAACTATACTTCTCAACAGTTAGATTTTGAAGATCCTAAGATTTTGAGAAAGTTTTCTGCTGGCCTGTGTGAGCTGTTTCACAAATTAATTTAACCAAGGGTAGTTATAGCATCAATATGATGACATTATTTAGAGGGGACAATAGTATACTCTTTTTCTGTTCAAATGAAAGGCTGTCTGGCCTACCCCAGATCACTTTGTATTTGGGTGTCATACATTTCAGAAGACAGCTGCATGGCAAGACAGTTTTTCTGCCCAAGTAAAGATGAAAATAGGGGGAATTCACTGGGTAAATCAGACCAAATGCTCACCTCTCTCTGATTTATCTGGGTAATTGCCTGTTCTCTCCTGTTTAGATGTTTGGTTCGTGCCAATCTGTAGAAAGAAAATAGTAGGAAGAAAGGCATCCTAGTATGTGCAGAACCCAAATGTACCACTTGGTTTTTCACTTCGTTCTTCCATTTTTGTTGTCTTCTTGTCAGGGAGACTCAGGAGCTCAGAATGGTTTCATATATAATGAGGTTATTGGGTCTGATGACAACTTAATGACAGGGAAGCTTTGTAGGGCCACCTCCACTGTAGCAGTGAACAACAATGCGGATTAAGTAACTAGCTTTTGCTTTGATCCCTTTACAGTTTGACAAATACCCTACAAAAGTTGACCCATTCTACCGGCACAGTGTGAGTTTCATTACCATGCTACACATTGAATGTAACTGCTTTGCCATTTTTGTGCTGTTGCCACAGATCAGTCAATGACTAGCAGCCTTCCTTAATCATCTTTGCAAGAGTTCCCATTGCTCCTTGCCACTTTGGATGCTTGCTTTTGTGGTGTTTTGCTTTTGGTAAAGATGCAGTATCATCTTCTGAATCAAAAGATCATAAGCACTCCGAAGGCTTGAAAGCAGAGTTGCTCTTTAGTGGCAGTCAGGCATCTGTCCTGCAAAGTGAGGTGTCTGCAGTGGAGTCAGCAGAGTTCCAGGAGAGTCCGAAATCACAACATTTCAGTCGTCAGTTGAAATGTCACTAACACAGAAGTCCTGGAATGCAACCTGAATTATTTCCTCTAAATAGAAAGTCCCTTGTCTTTTTGACTCATGACTCTTCAACGAGTAGATTTTCATTTGCTCTAGACTAAATGTAGAACCCTCTTCCACATGGCTGGTATTGTTCTGTTGAGTTTGTTGCAATGGAAAGTAAAAATATCACTTAATTAAAATAAACTCCCAAAACTGAAATGAGTGATATTTTCTCTTTAAACTCATTCTCCTTCATTAAAAAAAAAAACACAAAAACAAACAAACAAACAAAAAAACTTGTTTTATGCAATTTTAAGAGTACGTTCTGGAACTTCAATTGATAACACCCTAAGTTATATGTTCAGTTAACTTGTAAGACAAGAGCTTATTTTTATTCAAAGACCTTGAATATTTCCATGATATTTTGATGATGGGGTGAATACTGCATCATTTTTATCTGAAAATTTGCAAGTTTCTTTGCCAGTGATTTTTTTTTTTATGAAACCAGAAAAAAGAGAAGGTTAATCATTGCTTGTAGCCATGTTGATTCACCATACTCAACTGTTCTTGCTTAGGTTTGTAGATAGTGTTATCTTAACTATTTGAGTAGAAGTGCTACTTATAAATAGGTCAGCAAAGACTGAATTCATTCATACTGTGAACCAGATAATTAGATACCATGTTAGTCAAGAGTGCAGCTGAGAAGTCAAGACTAGTAAATATTAGAAATCAATTGAGAATTATGTACTCTAGGGGCATTCAGAAATAACATAAGATGAAAGACCTCTTTAAAAAGAAGTTAGAAAAGTGTATTTGATGACTCCTCCCCATCCCTCCCAACATGGTCCCCTCCTGTTCTGCTCAGTACTGGGATACAAAAACAGATTTCACGGGGACACCCAAAGCCCAGTAGACCTGTGGATTTCCTCTTTGGGTCTGGCCCATGGATGGCACCATTATGCCCCTAGTCTATACTTTGCTGATTTAAAGTAAGGACCAGCTAACACAATAATTCATATAGAAAGTTCAACGTGCCCAACAAGTGGCTCAGATTTACTTTCTAGGACCCACTGCGGTGCCTTCTCGTATGCATATTCTACAGTCCTAGGCCGAAGATGGATAATAAGCCTGGAGGCCTGAATTTTTGGAAAGTGTATGTATTATTAGGCGCTTCAGGTTTTTAGTCAGGGGGAGGAATGATCAGCTATATTTATGTTCTAAGAGGTCAGTAATGGAATAAAACAAAAAGAAAGTGGTAAGAACATCCAATTTTTAAATTGTAAACTTAAAGGGAAAATGCCCACCTGGAGGCAGAGTATAGAGATCTGAGTGTGTTTTACTGTGGCATGTATTTAATTACTCAGCTGTATTCAGTGTACTGTGGGAGAGTTATTTCATATTAGGAGTTATAGTGGATAACATATGAAGTACTCAGTCTCCCCTGCTTTGGGGATTAGGACATTATAAGGGGAATTAAGATGCAATGCACTCAAGTATCTAAAACACAATTTTAGACTTAAAAGTAGTTTTAAATGAGGGCACTTGGCTTGCAATCACTATTTAAGTGGATTTAGTTCAATATCAATTAGTCTGAAAAACTTTGCTGCATCATTGAAGGGAGCAAAATGAAATAAAGACCAACAGAAAAAGGACGTGCTCTGAAAATGGGATTGCAAAATGTGAATTACCAAAAATAACTGACACAAATACTTTACGAGGAAGAGCTTCAATTACTGTTGTAATTTTGACATAATAAACAGCCACGAGGGTGGGGCATTCTTTAAAATATTTGTATGGTGGCTTGATCACAGTAAATGGAACCAGACCAATAGGACCTCAAAAAGATTAAATTTTTAGAAGGAGGGAAAGATGTGTTTGCATTGCCTTCTCTCTGTATGTCTTTCCTCAATTGTGTCCTTTTATAGACTGTTGATTGAGGAAAATTCATAGTCTTCATTCAGACTCATTCTGTTACCATCATAGAGTGGACTCCTATGTGAAGGGCTTGGCTTGAGTATCCTCCAAAGAGCTTGTTCATTTAATAGCAGAAACCGTTGAGAAGTGGCCATAAAAATTCAGATTTCATATGTTCATACAGAAGTGCTTTAAGCACCTGAGACTTAAACAAGAGCAAGTGAAAGCTCGATAGTGATATTCCAGACTCGGGTTATTTCTGTGCAACTAGAATCCATCTTCTAGGCCAATTGGCAGCTCCATTTAAAGTATACATCGAGTCGTTTTATTTTACCCTTTCACACATATTTGTCATTATTTTAGATGAGAGAATTAAATTGTCCTCTGGAACTGCCACTTCTACAACAGCCTAATGAAGCAAGGATTGTGAATATGTTCTCATTTCCTCACACTATTAAAAGTCTAAAAGTACTAATCGAGTTTTAATGGTATAAAATCCTGGCACTCATGAAGACTTCTTTTTCTTCCCTTTTTTTTTTTTCTTTTTTCTGCCTTTTTTTCCCCCCTAATTAACTTGTAATTTTCTGGGCATCTTATTTGGCTCAGAGTCCCTCCTGTTTTTGAAATGCATTAAAATCTCCAATCATTTAGGACTTCTGATTTAACAATTAATAATTAGAAAAGCTCCCTTTCTAATGATGCCCTCACCCAGGACGTCATTTGCTGACTGATTGATCCTGAACTACTTTTAACTTTTGAAGTTACACATTCATGGCGCATCTGTGTGATCATCCCATCATGGCTTCTTGACTAATAGCATCAAACTGAGATTACTTGGCTTGCTCATGTCAATGTCTTTCAATGGGACGGGAATTTGAATATGTCACTTGCCTCCTACTAAAATCTTTTTTCCCCCTCTCCGTCTTTGGCCACAGCTCTTCCATTCCTATCCTCCTGCAGTGTCGGGCATCCCCCCTATGATCCCGCCCACTGGCCCTTTTGGTTCACTACAAGGAGCATTTCAGCCGAAGGTAAGAAACCTCACAGTGAAAACACACAGGCATGTGTCTAAGTGGCGTCCCGGGGCCGGGCGTGCAGGAAGTTCTGCGTCCTCTTGCCTGTGCAGTGACTCATTAATCAGGTCCTGAGTGACCACTGGGATTAGAGTGAGCCTTTTTTTTTTTTTTTCTTCCGAGTCCATCTGGTTTTAAATGGCCGTGAAAATTCAATTTTCAAACTGTACTACCCACGTAATCTCAGTTAAGCTAAGATTTCTTGTGCTCTTCAAAATATACATTATATTTATTTTTTTTACTACCAATATCGTGGACATAGCTTCTGGTCAGGAATTCTATGACATATCAGACACATGTGTGCCAGGTTGTTCTTCAGATATATGTAATCAGTAAAGACACAAAGCTGGGTCCTTATTGATTTTAGTAGAAGTGGGGATAAAGGCTTCAAGTATATGTAATTAGTAAAGACAAAGCTGAGTCCTTATGTACTTCAGTAGAAGTGGGGATAAAGGTCCCACAACTAAAATTGTATCCTACGAATTCTTCTCTCATTCTCCCTCATTTCTCTCGCCAACCCCATCGGCTGCTAACAGGGTCTGCCCGCAGTGGGGTGGTCGCCTACCATTTTGGTCCTCCTTTCTTTCTCCCTCTCTTTCTCTCAGCCATCCCACCCCTGCCATGGTTACACTGGCCAAGGCCAAGACTTTGTCATCAGTTACTAACATCCTAGAGTGAAATTAACCTTTCATCCTTGATAACAGTTAAATTCTCTTCCACCTAGTCAGTGATAATGCTGTCCAACGTTGGCTACAGCTGTCTGTAAAGGTCAATATTGAAGAGTCATTCTGGAAACACTATCTTTTTAAATATACTTACAGTTTCTATTTTACTTTCACACAAAAATAAAAAGAGTCATACTGTCATGTGGGTAACCATTCTCAGACTTGAAGATATTATGCTGTGTGTCACTGAGTTTTCCTTTTTCTTTTCCCCCCATCTCATTTCTAAGGTAAAACACAGTTTTGGGCCAGAGTTTTCCAGGATAAGCACGTAACTGCATTTCCAAAGAGGTGTTGCATTAAAACTAGGCACAGGAAAAGAATTAAAAGGCATTAGAGGTGGGGGGTCCCCCTCCCCTTCAAAATCACCTGCATTGAATTGCATGGAATTCAGTTCATCTATTGAATTTGCCGCCATTGAATTGCAGCCTATATGCAAGGTTACTGATACACTGGGCTTTTATGACGGCCTCGTTAAACACCTCCTATCTGGAGATAAAATGATGGTGATTTTAAACTCCTTCCCCCAGTCTGCACTTTACTACTTCCTCAGACCCGGGCCTGTCCCCTCTAGGTTGCACCAAATCTCTGGGGCCTCCCCAAGCAGACTGGTAGGTCATTTAATAAATTAGACTATGTCCCTCACTCACAATTATCCAATCACACAGAAAACTACATCTGGGCAAGAAAGTGTCTCTCCTGGTGTTGAAATAGGCCTTTCCAGGCCATCGTCCTGATTGAATATGTAGATTGCAGTTCATTAGTGGAGTTCTTCATATGTATGCAAATCAGGCTGTTAACAACTCCAGCTTAATTGTTAGTTGTACTGCAGCTGATTGCTTTTCTTTCTTTCATTCTTTATTCCCCCCTTCTCCTTGTAGGCAAGCTTCGTGCCTAAACTTGAGCTCTTTTTCCCGACAAGTTTAACATCCTGGCGTGGGGGGTGTTCATAGAAGTTGTGATTTCTTCAATAAAATAACTGGTAGTGTCTCCTGAATCCTTTCCCACTAGAAAGCAGTGATTGCGCCCAAAGTACGCTTTGTATTGTTGCTAATTCAAAGGACAGAAGCTCACAGATAAGGTTAATGTGAGTAATATTTGAGAATGTTGGTGGGAATAGGTAAGAGCAAGCAGAATTGCTTTAGAAATCATCGAAGAGCAGATCCGCAAGGTCCCTAAATTAGGTTCTCTTGTCCCATTTCCACCACTGCTAATGAGTAATTACTGAGTGTAATTCCTTGTTATTGTCTACCAGTTAAAACTGAGAGCTTAATGTCTGTACTTTCAGTTATTCTGATGAGAAACACCTGATCCTGCCAATTATAATAATGTTCACTTAAGCATTTCTTGGAATGTTTGGTGATTAAAAAAAAAAAAAAAAAAACCAATGGCAGTCCCTGCCATGGGTTCATTTGGAGGAAGAGGAGTTCCAGGACAGCATTTACGTTTGTTGCTTCTCTTTTTTGGTCCTGTGCTTTTTATTGCAGTGAAATGTTCTGGGGACCTCTCTCTGCTTTTAGATGCCATTGCTGGAGAGAGCAAGCTGTGGTCAGGCCCCTTTGAGAAAGAGCATGTGTGGTCCTTGAGAAAAATGAATCTTGCATTTCAGAAGGAAACAAACAAATGAAGTTTGGCTTCTCTCCTTTAGGAGGAGGGAAGGATCTTGCTTTCGTGTCACCTGTTTTGTGCTTCCTAAGTAAGCTGTGGTCTAATTAATTTGTAGACATCCAACCCTATCGATGTCGCTGCTCGGCCTGGGACAGTCCCACACACTTTACTACAAAAGGACCCGAGGGTACGTGCAAAGTCAGGCTTGGTCTCAGGTAACACCAGGGGGTGTGTGTTTGCACGGGACGGCCAACCCAGTGATCGCATCTTCCGTAGCTCCTTTGAGCGAGCTGCTGTTTCAGCTGTTCTTCCAGTTTGTGGAAGAAAATGCCAATGACTCTTAGAAAACAGTCTCTGCTGCTCACTGCGAGCGTAGGACACAAAGAGACCGACTTGCCAATGGGAGAAAAGAGGAATGAGTTATGGTCTGAGCCCAGAAATCGGACAGTGTCAGCTTGTATACTTTTTACTTCACCCATCTTCTCTTTCTATGGTCTCCTTAAATTGTCTTACACAAATGAAGTAGCTACAGAAGGTTTTGAATGGAAAAGCACTAAGGTGCTTTTCTTCCTGGAAGTCAGGCTACACATCCCCCCCTTGCCTGGGGTCAGGAAGTTATTGTACTGCACGGCTCTTTGGCCCTCTATTTTTAATGTGCTAGGGATCCTTTTGTACTCTAGAGCTAAATAAAATATCCATTATGCTTTGGTTATGTTGTTTATTCATAATTTATTACCACTGCCTGCTTCCAAAAAAGGAATTTGAAGTTATACGATAGATATAATCTTGCCTCATTGATTGTTATTTATAGTCATCTTTACACGAAATATGAAAACATCTTTAACAATATTGTCTTTTTACCTATATAAGGGCAGTCAGAAATTGATAACCAGAGTTAGATAGAAGTTTAAAATGACTCAACTATGTAAGTATGTCATGATGTGTAGTGAACTTCTGGAAAATGTCTAATACCTATAAATAATGTAAAGTCATCAATGTAAGGGTATTGGTAAAGACAGCCTAATTCTCCTGGATGGATGGATGGAAAGAACACCTCTCCCCAGATACCAGTTAGTAGAGCTGTACTACAGCTGTAAAAGCCTGGGGTCTGAAGGCCATTCTGCCTCAGACCTACCCAGTGTGGTTGGAGCTCAAAACAGTGAAACTCCTGGTGTGTGATGTGAGCAAATCACATTGCCAGAGGGCACATTGCTATTGATTAAACTTGTACAGGGGCTTGTCAGCGTAGATGTACCAAGGCTTGTGAAGTGGGGGAGGGGACACTTGGCACTTTTGATAGTGTGAAAATGGGTTAATTATTCTCTAAAAGGACTTCATTTAAAAGTAAAATTCTAACATTTTAATTTCCCCTCCTAATGAAGCACTACAAATTTGTTAATTAGAGCAATTGTTTGAGTGACAGGCATGTAACCAAGTTGTCATTTTCTCTTCACAGTTGACAGATCCTTTCAGACCTATGTTAAGGGTAAGAAAGCTTCTTATAGAACTGTTTTGCAACCTCTATTTGACTCCCTGTGGGTTAAAAATACAAGTCTATTACAAGGAAATAAGCCATAGAAATGTTGGAATAAGACATCGGAATGACGGTGATTGGGTTTTTCAGGTAGTGTGATTGAAAATGGCCTAAATCGTTTTGCTTTGACCGTTGGAGGCCATTGGCTTTTTTCTCTTTACAACAGAGAAAAGTCAACTGAGTCTGATCTCTTCTTAGCAGTTCTGGAAAAAGGTTTGACTAGTTGGAACTTAAGGGGAAAGACTTAAGCTGCAGGCTGAAGTTAGTCTCTCTCGCACTTAGAAAATATGTAGCTGGGTCTGTTTATTTTGGCTGGTGGCTCCCTCTTTCTGTACTAAGTGGCATTGACTTGCCATAGCCGTTTGACCTCCTTTTAAGGTGCAGGAAGGAGATACTATAAGCATTTGGTTTCTTAACATCTTGCTTAAAGCAAATTGTTCTCGAGGTCTGGAGAGTGGCCAGTGTGATGACCTCTAAATGAATCCTGGTGGTTGGGGGTAAGACAGACGTGATGAATTGCTGGACAGAAGATGGATGGACAGCAGATTTCTTACTATACATAACTCATTTCTAGGGCATATAATCAGATAATTTGATTTCTCCAGGGGAAAAAGCAGAATGTGTCATCACTTAGGTGAGGCAGTATATTATTTGTGATTTCAAATTATTCAATGAATAATTTCATTGCAAGAGAAAAGAACTGACCCAGACTTGCATTTAAGTATATATTTTCGGCAATAACCCCATACTGTAGAAACCAGAAGCTTTTGTTCTTCGCCGATGTAGAATGAGGCTGTGTTTTCTTCTCATGTATCCAGCAGTTACTGAGCACACACCCCGAGCTTATGGGTAGATAACTTAGCAGAAATGAAGTGAAGAGGTGGTCCCTGCCCGCTGACTGGTAGAAGAGAATACACTCACAGTACTCCACTCCTTATAAAGCAAGACATGAAATAATTGCAGAGATAATTGATTCAAATTCAACCCCAGAGGGTGGAGGATGGACTTGAGGTCTGCAGAGGCCTAGAGAATAGGAAGGAAGGAATTCTTCTCTTTGTTTCTTTTCTTTTTTTAAACGTAGGAACAGTGCCCACCAACATGAATGAGTAGTTGACTCTTAGCATTTATGGTAACTGGGCTTCAGTCAAAATGCGAATTTCTTTGTACCACTTTGGGGGTTAAAAACAACCACAGTCTTGGGGGCGGTTAGGACAGGTTCTGTACCCTCTCTTATTTTGATTTGACTCACAGACATTCACTAATGAGCTCTTCTGAACAGCTGATTTGCATTATAGCATGGCAGCATTTGTTAAGCAGGGCTTCCCACTCTACCAGGTCTGCCAGCTGGCACCAGAAAAGAAAGAGAAGAGACACAGAAGTGGGATTCAGGCTTTTGCCATCTTGTCCTTGCTAACCGGGGAGGTCCTTGTCAATGTGGTTTTCTGAGTAGCAAGCCCACGTGGGGAAAGAGGGGGAGCTGGCTGTGACTCCCTTATGACTGGGCGCTGGAGAGCTGCTGATGGAAAAGCACTTGGAGAGTACAAAGCACTCTTGTTTCATGAAAAAAGCCTCTGCAGCCAAAATCTGCTGAAAGCTTTGGGGAAATTGAAGGTGGTTTTCTCTGAAATGTCTTCCTCCTAACCACGTTGCTCTTTCTTGTTCCAGAAACCAGGGAAGTGGTGTGCTATGCATGTTCACATCGCCTGGCAGATTTACCACCACCAACAGAAAGTCAAGGTCAGTCCGACCTTCCTGGTATAGGAAGAATGGGATGGGCATGTGAGTGTGTGATGTGCTCGGGAGAACCTGATTAACGAGGCATTTAAAATACATCTTACAGACCCATAGTTAGGAAGGATCAAGCCTCTCTTGGAAAAGCTACTCAGAAGTCTTAACTTTTTTTTCCGCCCCCCCCAGAGTCAGGGTCTCATTCTGTTGCCCAGGCTGGAGTACAGGGGGACAGTCATAGCTCACCACAGCCTTGAACTCCTGGGCTGATGTGATCCTCCCACCTCAGTCTCCCAAGCAGCTGGGACTTTAGGCATATACCACCATACTTGGCTAATTTCTTGATTGTTTTTGTAGAGATGGAGGGTCTCACTGTGTTGCCCAGGCTGGTCTCAGACTCCCGGCCCCAAGCAGTTCTCCCGCCTCAGCCTCCCAAGTAGCTGGGATTACAGTGCAAGCCACAGCAGCCAGCTCAGAAATCTATTAATTAGGGAAACCACCAGTGAAATTACAAAAGAAAAGCAAACTGATAATGCCCTGGGGTTCCCCTTTTTTATAATTTTGTCATTTTATTGATCCAAAGGGCTTGAATATGGATTAAGTGCTAAAATAAAGCTTTTGGAAATAAAATTGTAGTGACCAAAAATTAGAATACAGAAAATACTTTGCATCTGGGAAGAGCTACAAATGAATGTTGGGTTTGGGTTTTTGTAAAAATAGTGACTGCTGCATTCTTTTCATTTTTTGGCTGTGGGAAAACAGTGGAGTCACGTATGCCCTATATGAAGACGATGCCACTGAACTGTCACTGGTCCTGTTGATGGTCAGTGCCGGGGGCTGGAATACAGTCAGGACTTGCAGGAGCCGCGTTCTGGCCAGTTACCTTGCTGTCCAAAGATGGTTTTTCCCTTTCGTCTATATTTTCATCATAGGGATGAATATATTCCATGTTCTGCTAGAGCCTTTATGACTCAGTAGGGGAGAGATCGAGAACTTCTGCGAGTCCCTGGATACAGCATCAGCATTTCGCTTAGGAAACAAAGTAACTGACAAGTCTGTATTTTACAGTCTGGATATTTACAGGCTGTTACGATGCCCGTAAAAACAGGAGCAAACAAGCAATCAGATAACTCCAATAAGCTTCACTTAATCCATTTCTTCACGAACAAGCTTTTAGTCCTACCAGCATTTGGGAGCTCTCATGAAAGAAATACAGGAGACCAGTGAGCCAGAAGATAGAGCTCTTCATCACAGAAGAGAAATGTTTTTAAAAGGGTTATATGATTTTTAAAATAAAACAACCCAAGTTCCAGCCTCTCCAGAGGCTGAGGCAGGAGAACCCCTTGAGCCTGGGAGTTTCGTCCAGCCTGGGCAACATAGCAAGACCCCATTTCTTTAAAAAAAAAATGAATACATAAAAAGTAAAACAACCCAGTTAAAAGTTAAGATGCAAACCTCAATCAGTGAGGTCACTAAGATACTTTGCTTTGGTTGTCAGATACCTGCTCTTTCTTATAACATGCCAGCAGTGAGTTTGGCTCACTTGTACTTTATCGTTACGGGAAGTTTAATTGGAAGTCTTGTGGTCTATCCTAGAAAATGCGTATGCTTTGAAGAGCTGACTAGATTTTGATGATTAGTTCAATTCAGTTTTTGTTCTGGTTGATGTGGTTAGTGGAACGGTAGGTAAAGCACATCTTCCTTGTAACTTCTTTGGTTAAAAGCGATGAGGGATGTTGCACATGCCACTTTAGCAACTTCTTTCCCATAAAAGTGTCCCCAGTGACTTAAACGTTCATTATCCCAATTCAATTAGAAAGACCTCTTGAACACGAGATAACTTCGTTCATCTTCCCTTTTCAGCAAACTGCTTGTAATCCCCAAGCTCCATTTTGCTTCATGGCCCTAAGTTGTGGTTAATGGAACTGTGCTATGTACCATGCAATATTAGCACTAAATAATTTGGCCACCAAATTAAAGGAGGTCCTCAAAAGAATTGTATAGATTCATAGTGAATTAGAAGCTTGGTTTTGAGGCTTGGCTATGACTTGCTGGCGGGACTTTCATTATAGCGTTCCCTGTAGATTTGAGCAGAGATTGCATCTTCCCTTTCTCTGTAACGTTCCTTTACGCATTCTTTTAGTCGCTTACCCAGTATTTATCGAAAGAGCCTACGCCTGCAAGTTCCTTACTGTGCCGAGCTGGGGGCACGCGTTCTTCCTGGCGTCTAGTTGCTTAGAGTTCAGTAATGAGGATCAGTGTGTGTGTAAACAGTGAGGAAAGTGTGTGTGCTCTCTTAATGGGTGGTGTCAGTTCCAGCTGGAGGAGCACGGGTAGCTTTCGCTTTCAGTGGGGGTGATGGATGAGTGGGACGTTGCCTTCAGCAGTAAGGGAATAGCAGACTTCCCTGTCTCAGACCCTCATGCCATGTTCTGTCAATATAGATGCCCCCTGATGGGGCTTTGCTGTTGTACAGCCAGGCAAGGATCCCTCAGAACATGAGAGAGATTGAGCTGAGGCTAGAATGGGGCTAAAGGGGCTGAAAACCCAGGAGACTGGATGGGAAAGAGTTCATAGCGAGGGAAAGTCAAGATCATAGCAAGGGAACGTCAACTGGAAGCTTCAAGTCCCAGGACCCCAGGCCTTGGGAGCAGTGCTTATCCGAGGAGGTGTGAAGCCAGTTCAAAGAGAAAGCTGTCAAGAAACAAGGAGGTGGGGCAGCTTTGAAATCATGCTGGTGTGAGGGCCTCTAGCCTAGAGAATGATGCCAGGGGAAGATTGAGATGAAGATTATGAACCAATTTCTGCTGCCTAAGAGGATGGTGGGCAGAAAGATTAGCCTGAGGATGCATAAAGAAGAGGAAACAGTGATTTCTGTCCATGATAAAGACTTCACACACGAGTCTTTTTTTTTTTTTTTTCTTTGGAGCTAGCCTCGGTCACAGCAACCTCTGCCTCCCAGGTTCAAGCAATTCTCGTGCCTCAGCCTCCCCAGTAGCTGGGACTACAGGCACGTACCACCAGGCCCAGCTGATTTTTTGTATTTTAGTAGAGACAGGGTTTCACCATGTTGCCCAGGCTGCTCTTCAACTCCTGAGCTCAGGCAGTCAGCCCGCCTTGGCCTCCCAAAGTGCTGGGATTATGGTTTACTTGTCTGGACGGACCCCCCCACCTTCCTCAGGTAATTACAGGTAGAAGGAAGAGATAGGGCCTCTATTAGTTAAATTAATATTCCTACTTTTTCTTTTTTTATTTATTATATAACAATAATCATTTGAAAGCTAATAGACATGCAAATAGTTCTGCTTAACTTTCAGTTACTAATGAACTGTGATCTATTAGAGTATGGCAAAGAGTCATTAAACAATTAATTTATACAGCAGATTATTCATGCAGAATTCCTAATAAAATGAGCGTTAAGACACCATTATTTTAAATCTTACTAAAATGGGCCTTTATAGCAAAACACTGAACTACTTTGGGAGTGGTGGCAGTCTCCATAAATAGGATATGGTTTTATTTCTCAAGCCATTAACCTTAAAGACCAAACATAGCTGGGCGCGGTGGCTCACACCTGTAATCCTAGCACTTTGGGAGACCGAGGTGGGCGGATCACTTGAGGTCAGGAGTTTGAGACCACTCTGGCCATCATGGTGAAACCCCATATCCACAAAAAATACAAAAATTAACTAGGCGTGCTGGGAGGCACCTGTAATCCCAGCTACTTGGGAAGCTGAGGCAGGAGAATCGTTTGGACCTGGGAGGCAGAGGTTGCAGTGAGCCAAGATCACACCAGTGCACTCCAGCCTGGGCGGCAGAGTGAGGGAGACTCCGTCTCAAAAAAAAAAAAAACAAGAAAAAACCAGACCAAACACTAGTGTTGTCACTAGACATTTCTGGTGTAACAGGCACTACCGGCCTGCAGATCTGACATTTGAGGGTGAAATGGTTTTTGGGTAGCTGCTTTTTCTCACAGTGTTTGTAAACTTGAACCCGAGTGCACCGTTCACAGTCTCCAGCTCCAGCTCTTCACTAACACCTTTCTTCCTCGCTGTTGGCCTTGGGACCCTTACTGTCCCCCTTGCTGTATAGAAACAGATGCAGTCAGACCCACATAAGCTGGACTTCGGACTGAAACCTGAGTTCCTGAGCCGCCCTCCAGGCCCCAGTCTCTTTGGAGCCATCCACCACCCCCATGACCTGGCACGGCCTTCAACTTTGTTCTCTGCCGCTGGTGAGTGTGGGTTTGGGTGGGGGAGCAGAGCTGAGAAATGTGGTTCTAAGGTAACTAAATAAATGAGGTTTGGGCTCCAAGCCGCCGCTCAATCACCACCTTCAAAAATACAATGTATGCCAGCTTGCAAGGCAACATCGCAGCACATCCAGCAGGTTGGGAATCTTCATTGATACACTCTTTCATTAAAGGAGGAAGCAGAGATCATCTTTCCCTTACAGGGATTCACATCGCTTCGGTTCATTATTTGCTTCTATATTAAACCGGTATAACTCACAAGCATGTCAATTGCTATTGAGAAAGATCAGAAGGCTTGCAAGGGCAGATGGGAAGGAAACAATGCCAGGAATTATAGAAGGATGCGGTCGCCCTTAATATGGTGCCCGCAGAGCACTGTAATGTTGCACCAGGATGCTCAGTCATGCTGTGTTTTAAAGTCCTGAGGATAAAGACGATTAAGGCAGTTGCCAGGAGTGTGGTCTGTGATAAGGGAGGGTGGACCACTCAGTTGCTGGTTTTCTCTGCTACAAAACATAATACTATTGTCTGGTTGGTTAAAGCGATGGAAGAAATTTAGGAAACAGCATAAACACCCAAGTGACCTGTTCATCAGATCTGTAATTCATTTAACCTCTGAGAATACACACTGTCAAGCGTGCGTGTGGAAGGGGTGAGGTAGAGAGTGACGATTATGCTCATTCCTGCTCCAGGTACAAACAAAAGGCAGCGGCTGTAAGGACTGTGTGGTGGATGAGAACAGCCCTCTTGGTATCAAGGGTTTCTTGTCATTCTGTCTTCTTTAAAGCTTTTTTAAGTGTAATTTCTGGCACACAGAGCTCTGCTCAGTTAACACTTAAAAATGATGGCATTGAGCTCATTCTGCTAATAACTTCATACCCACTGTGCTAAGCAGAATTTATTCTTCTGGTCGTAAGCGGTCAAGGGGCTCCCCATTTCTGATCCTTATGGGACAAGTCTCACAGCCATCCTGCCAGCTGCCACCCCAGGCTTTTATTCAAGACTCACTGTGGGTAGACCTCTGGCTCTTCGGCGCAGGAAGAGAGAAGCACCCACATTGCAAGAAATCATCATTATAATAGGCCTTGCTAGCAAAGCAAGTGAATCCCCCTGGAGGGTAGATGGAATTTGCTAAGGTCTCAGGTTTTTCTCTGTCAGTGCTGTCTAGGGACATATTTGAAGGCTCTGTTACCATGGCACCTAGGCTCTGAGACAGGGCTACATTCAGAGCGATTTTTGGAGAGAAATAGATTTCTCTCTGGCTTCCATTTGAGCCAAGTGGATGAATTGGTTTCTTTTGCTTCAATAATTCTGAAACTGCAAGGCACCCCTGGGGGCCCTGGGCTCAGCAAAGCTCTGGTCTTCATTGAAGCATTAATTAGCTTGCACTACACAGACAGTATGTGGCCAAAATTTTATTTAGCCGACAACACTGCTAATGCCTGATGAATATCCTGGAATATGTTCACTTTGTGGAGGCGGGGTATCATTCTTACACTTCCCAGGTGGAAAATAAGCCAGCGTGCAGGACTGGATAGATAACCCCTCAGGTGTCTTCCAATCCTGAGCTACCGGGACCGGGATGATGTTCCTTCTGTACTGTGTGGCTTCCACTCCAAACCCAGGCCACAAGACTTTTGCAGCCCAGGGAACAGCAGTCCAAAACATAAATTGAGTTAACAGAGTGCAGACAGCAATGACCCCTATGTTTAATCCATCTTCCTAAAGGAATTTATATTTGTTTATAGGAACTTAGACAAAATGAAAAGGATTATGGAACAGTTATTCCTAAATTCTTTATCCAGGCCCTGTTTATACTTCCATTCTACAATGTAACCTTCTTTAGGATAAGCAGTATGGGATTCTGCCCAAAATGGTTATTTGGTGAACCTTGTAACTGATGTGTAAAACTTGTACATACTTAAGAAATCCAGCCATTTTCATCTTGCTTTTGGGTACTAATCCCATGAATATAAACTAGAGACTTCCTCAGATAACTTTGGCAAATCTCTCATCTAGGACAAAGCCTGCCTTCCAGGGAGCTAGCCTCCTTAGCTAGTAAGTGGCCTCATATTAACAAGGCCATTTGGCACCCTAAGCCCTTAGAAATGTCCTTCCCTAATTCACATTTGCACACTCTCTTTCTCTCTCTCCTTCCTTCCTTTCCTGGCTTCCTTCAAGAACAGGAATAGAGGCATCTTCAAGAAATACACATTAGGCAAAATACAGAGTAGAGGAGGAAATGTGGATCAAGGGAAAACTGAAGGAAACCACTAAATTAGACCTGAGCTCCCGGGCAGGCAAAGCAAAAACCTGTGAGTCAGTTATAACATTTTTAGTGCCCCAAAACAGAAGAATCAACCGGCTTTTCCTGGCCTTGCAAGTTGAGAGACATCAGAGGACTTCATCTCCTAAAACCTAATGTAACTCACAACAATGAGTTTTATAGAGTTGGGCCTTATAGTATCCTTCGAATTGGCTGCATGCGAACTAACATATTCTTCAGGAGAAGGGATTCTGCAAGGCCCCAGGGCAGCGTAGCCGAGAACCACGGCTTCAGGACCACCCCTCCTGAGCCAGGGATGGTAACGGGCTGGGTGTCTGGAACAGTGTTTCTCAAAGCGAAAACTTGGTCCTCCGAGATACTCACTCTGTGAGGAAAGGATTCCGTGATGAAATGTTCCCCTCTTAGAGAATGAAGGAGCCTATAAGCTTATTAACGGCTCTCAGAAGTCCTTCAGTAAAGAAACTTGGCTTAGCTCTTTTTAATCCAGTATTTCTCCAAATTTACTTGGTTATGAAACCTCCCCTCCTCCCATGACCCAGGGGAGTTATTGCTGTCTTTGTAATACTGTGTGTCATCGGCTTTAAAAAGAAATACCTCTTTTTGGTGGTGGCCAGCCATGCTGGGAAAGTGAAAAAGGGATGATTGATTTTCTGCTTCCAAAAACAACATTTTCTTTTACCCCGTGTCTTGCCTGCAGGGGCCTGGGTGGACTTTAGCCATGACCTCCCTTGAGCATTTTTTCTCATGGGGCCCTTAAGCAAGTAGAAGCTGGTTGCACCTTCGAAGTTGGCTTTTTTAAACTCTGGTTTTGTTATGTTTGACTTAACAGGTGCTGCACACCCAACTGGGACCCCTTTTGGGCCACCTCCTCATCACAGCAACTTCCTCAACCCCGCTGCCCACCTAGGTGAGTCACCCAAAGTCATGGGAACTGAAGTGTGTGCTTCAGGCAACCCTGCTGTGTTTACCATGCTTCCACTGCACCTCCAGGCAAACTGGTGGGAGTCCCAGATACCCCGCTTACCACTTAGGCAGGAGATGGTACTCTCTTAGGAGTTTCAATACAAGCCATCCAGCTTCCAGATGTCATCCCTCACGCCACATTCTTTCCGTAGTGGAGCTGTGCTCAGCAGTGGTTCTTCCTGAGCTTACCATGGTGCAGTGGGTGAGAGCCATCCCTTGGTATCTCAGGGAATCCCAGTTTACAACAGCCTGTTCCTGCCCTTTGGAAGAAGATGGTGAGCTCTTGCCCCGTAGCAAAGGTCACCTCTAGGAAGCAGAAAGAAACACAAGCTGATGTTATGGAGAGGTGCTATTCCACATGTCACTGCCCCGATGAATGAGTCTCTTCCTAGTGAAGGTGCATGCTTTGTGTGGCCTTTGCATATTCGATCCCATCTGCAAAGTGTACAGGCAGATGCAGGCATTGCCTTGCACAACATCAGGGCATATCATAGGCGTGCCTTCAGAGTTTCACCATGGATTCAGATGCCACCTCCTTTCTATTCTGTTAGAACCTGCAGAGGGTACTCCTGGCAGAGGCGAGACTGGGCAGGAAGGCAAGTTGTACACCCTGGCTTGAGTAGTGTCCCCACTGGGCAAAGGAAGAGTAATGCAAAATGCACAGTTGTGGAATTAGAGCCCTCAGAAAGATTTTGCTAACCCAGTGCCTAAATCCAAGTGTAATGAAAACCTTTCACACCATCCGGTAGGAGAAGTGGGACAGGCCAGGTGGGGGTGTAGAGGGGGCAGGGATCCCGCATCGCCCTGCTCCCAGGAAGTTCTGGGTTCCTCTCTCAGCAGAGCCCCTGACCATTTCCTTCTTCCCCATCTTGTTTGCAGAGCCTTTTAATCGGCCGTCTACATTCACAGGCCTAGCAGCCGTTGGTGGCAATGCCTTCGGGGGACTTGGAAATCCTTCCGTTAGTGAGTACCTCTAACTTTTAAAAATCTGCCTTGGACTTTTTATCTCCTGTGATCTGCATATGGCTCAAGACCTTTCTAGAGAAAAGGAAAACTATGCTCTGGGGGGGACCAGTGTAGGTTATATCACTGCAAAAGCAGCAGGCCTTCACAGTGGGGTGAGGTGGAAGCGTGCAGAGCCACCACTGTGAGGGCGGCCCCCACTGTGAGGGTGGCCCCCTGTGGCTCTCCAGTTCTGAGGGGCAGGAACGGCAGTATCATTGATGACCACAGAGAGTTTACTCAAGTTCAGAGTTTCATCCACATCCCATCTCTGCTCTCCAAGATTTTGGCTGCAACTCACATTAGAAATGAAAGCAGTAGTTACATTTCATCTTGCCCGTGGCATTCGTGGAATTGAAAAAAGCACAATGAAAAATAGCAGTAAGACAGCACCAGGCTTGGGATAATCAAGATTTGGCAACATTTTATTCTCCATCATCTAGGAGGACTTTGCAGTTTTCTACTATTAAAAAAGCCCACCTCGATTAGGAGAAGAATTACAACCCCATCTCACATTCTGAACATTAGTATTTAGTCGCTGCATATGCAAATTATTTTCTTTCGTGCCACATACCATATATTCCGGGTACAGGAAGAGCTAAAACGTGTCTCTAAGCATACCGTCACAGGTCGGTCTTCATTTAAAATACATCAAGGAGACCGGTGTGTCTGTTGAGGGCAAGGTCCTATCTGGTCTCTGGTGACACTTGAGAGGGCCGCGGTGGGTAAAGGAGACGGTGACTTCTACTCTGAATTAATTTAGAGTTATTAATCCAAATCCCACCATCATAACACACCCTTCTGCATGCCTGGAACTTATGCATGCACCAGATACGTTGAATTAGGTTATCTCAATACCCATTTGGTCCCTTTTCCTTTTTAATTTTCCCTGCCCCCACCTTTGCTTTTGGTTTTAAAAAGAAAAAGAAAGCTGTGAGCTACCTCTCCAGTGTAGGACAAGACTTCCTCTAATGAATTTGTTAATCTCCTTTCCTTTTCCAGCTCCCAATAATATGTATTCATTTTAACTCTGAATGCTGTTAAAAGTTTTTTGGTAAGTACCTTCATTACAGCAGATTATATAATTTCTCTTAAACCTTTTTGTTCTCCACTTCACCATTTCAGCACCCAACTCAATGTTCGGCCACAAGGATGGCCCCAGTGTGCAGAACTTTAGCAACCCTCACGAACCCTGGAACCGGCTGCACCGAACGCCTCCGTCGTTCCCGACCCCTCCGCCCTGGCTGAAGCCAGGGGAGCTGGAGCGCAGCGCGTCCGCTGCAGCTCATGACAGAGATAGAGATGTAGATAAACGAGACTCATCTGTTAGTAAAGATGACAAAGAAAGGTACGGAAAGAAACCGCTCTCGAGTCCCCACGGGGGAGCCTGCTCTGTGCCAAGTACCAGTGGAACCGGCCGCCCACCCTCCCTGTCCCAGCCTCGTGCTTTAGCCACCCCAGTAGCCTCAGCCCATCCCCACAGCCAGCGCCCGCAGCCCCTCGCAGTCCCCATGGCCCGTAGCATATGGTGACGGTAGGAGATAGCAGAGCTAGCAACAGATTCCTGTCTCAGTCGCAGTTATACATCAGCACGTCCTAAGACCCCGTTAGCGTGTCCAAACAGGAGTCTTTCTCTAGCAGACAGGGAGTTGGAGCTTTGGGCCAGACACACACAGCATGAATCAATTCCATATTTGCTTTCAAGTCCGTGCAGTCCATTAAACCATCCATAGGTTTTTCTCGCTCTTTTCTTCTTTTTGTTTTCTTTTAGAAAGCCATGTTTGCATTGCCTCATCATATTTTTCTCAAATTTTGTTCAAACTCAAAGCCTGGGGCTCACAGATGACTAATACGATTTTACTCACCTAGATGTAGAGAAACGTCGACAAGCAGTTTTGGTTTGGTTTTGGTTTCACTAGTGGATAATTTTGTTAACCATTGTCTCTGCACTTGGTAACCCATGCCTAGAAAAAAAAGTAGTGTTAAAGAGGGAATGTCTTGCAGTATTTTTTTCCAAAGAATATCATACGCATTCTTGACAAAATGTCTCCTTTTTTCTTTCTTTAGGCTATTTTCAGTTTAAATGAACTGATAAGGAATGCACAAATATGCCTGACAGAAAATACCTAATCCCAATTTCCTTGCAGTACTTAAGATTCAATTTTGATCCAAATCTTTAATGTTTCTTTTCTTTGTATACCGTGTATGTATGTGTGTGTGTATATCCTAGTAATTTCAAAGAATTCAGCTTTGCAGGCTCTGAATGCGGCAGATTAGTAGATACTCATCAGAGGCCATTATGCTGACTGATAAAAGAAAAAGACAAATTTTCCTTCAAGGCAGTATGATAACAATCTCTTAACCACTGGGAGGAACGTTTCTGACATTCAGCTCTGAGCTGTGAACTGCCGAAATGAGGCACGCATAGCAACCTAATGTGGCCGACCCTAGGCCGCCAGCTTTCCGTACACAGCCTGTCACTAGGTGCAGTGCAGGATGTGGCCACCAGCCCTTTGCGTGTTTCTCTGGATGGCGTCAAAATGGCCTCTTGGATTAAAGTCAGGAAGCTTAATAAATAAAATGTACTCTTCTTCCATACTTCCCTTAAAAGTTACTCTTCTTCTCTGCATGTGGGCAGGAAACAGCCCTCATACGGGAGCCTCCTGAATTCTCTCACTGTGGTCCTCTGATCCTTGCACACCAGCACCAAGCCAGCGTGGCAGGCTGCCGCTCTCCTCAACTTTGCCATATCTGTCTTGGCGCCATCTGTAAGATTTGCCTGGTCTTAGTTTTAACTCAAGTTTTACCTTATTGTCATTCTATTTGTTTTTGCATTTTCTGCCCAATACTCTACTCTTGAGCCCCCATCCAAGACAGGTCTCTAAAATTCTTGTCTCGCGTTTTCACTCACAGCTGCTCTCTAAAATTGTTTTCAATGTCCTCATGAGGTTTTGTGTTTAGGGACCTGCTTTTCCTACTGCCTTCCCTCGGTCTTCTCATCAGACTTTGGCTTTCTTATCCCATCTGGTGCACAAGTGCTCTTTGCAACCCAAAAGTCCTCCAGCTGTGACTTCCTTTTGAGCCTCTCTCACATGCTGTGTCTTGGAGATGGCTCCATATCCACGTTCTTTGCTCTGAAACTGGTCACTTGTCCTTGTAAGGAGCAAGAGACTTCTGTGACACTGACGTTGAACCCTTCCTTCCACTGGCTCTGTGTTGCAAAGTTGGAAGAAAAGTGATACTTGGCGGGCGTTGGGCTCTTAAAACGTGATTCTTAATACTAGACAATCCCGAGCGTCCAGACAGTGGGGCTGAATTGCCGCATCACTGCCTTATTGACCGCATGCAGCCATCTTGGCTTCCTGGAAGCTCTTCTGTGCTCTTGGCTGAGGCTCTTACATGCAGAGAGATTCTTGCTCCCGGCAGACTCCCCCTCACCCTCATCCCTGGTCCGTCTCCCCCATTAAGCTTCCTCTAAAATCTAGGTAAGTAGGATGAGGGTGGCTGGCTCTGCCCTGCCCAGGGCATGGCCGCTGCCTTGGCGACCATGGGAAGCAGCCCCCAGCCTGTCCTCTTCACACCACCATTTCACCCGCAGCCCCTGGCTCGGCCGACTCGCCTGTTTCATTTCATCTGCGTCCTTGTCTTCCCCTCTCTCCCCCAGGGAAAGCGTCGAGAAGAGACACTCCAGCCACCCTTCACCAGCACCTATCCTCCCGGTGAATGCCCTGGGACATACCCGCAGCTCCACTGACCAGATCCGGGCTCATCTGAACACTGAGGCTCGGGAGAAGGACAAACCCAAAGAGAGGGAGAGAGACCACTCGGAATCCCGCAAGGACCTGGCCGCTGACGAGCACAAGGCGAAAGAGAGCCACCTGCCCGAGAAGGACGGGCACGGCCACGAGGGGCGCGCCGCGGGCGAAGAGGCCAAGCAGCTGGCCCGGGTGCCGTCTCCCTACGTGCGGACCCCGGTGGTGGAGAGTGCCAGGCCCAACAGCACCTCGAGCCGGGAGGCCGAGCCGCGCAAGGGTGAGCCGGCCTACGAGAACCCCAAGAAGAGCTCCGAGGTCAAGGTGAAGGAGGAGCGGAAGGAAGACCACGACCTGCCTCCAGAGGCCCCGCAGACCCACCGGGCCTCGGAGCCGCCGCCTCCCAACTCCTCGTCCAGCGTGCACCCGGGGCCCCTGGCCTCGATGCCCATGACGGTGGGGGTGACGGGCATTCACCCCATGAACAGCATCAGCAGCCTGGACAGGACTCGCATGATGACCCCCTTCATGGGCATCAGCCCCCTCCCGGGCGGAGAGCGCTTCCCGTACCCTTCTTTCCACTGGGACCCCATCCGGGACCCCTTGAGGGATCCTTACCGAGAACTTGACATTCACCGGAGAGACCCGCTGGGCAGGGACTTTCTGCTAAGGAATGACCCGCTCCACCGGCTCTCGACTCCCCGGCTGTACGAAGCCGACCGCTCCTTCAGGGACCGGGAGCCTCACGACTACAGCCACCACCACCACCACCACCACCACCCGCTGTCTGTGGACCCTCGGCGGGAGCACGAGCGGGGAGGTCACCTGGACGAGCGGGAGCGCTTGCACATGCTCAGAGAAGACTACGAGCACACGCGACTCCACTCCGTGCACCCCGCCTCCCTCGACGGACACCTCCCCCACCCCAGCCTCATCACCCCGGGACTCCCCAGCATGCACTATCCCCGCATCAGCCCCACCGCGGGCCACCAGAACGGACTCCTCAACAAGACCCCTCCGACAGCAGCGCTGAGCGCACCTCCCCCGCTCATCTCCACGCTGGGGGGCCGCCCGGTCTCTCCCAGAAGGACGACTCCTCTGTCCGCAGAGATAAGGGAGAGGCCCCCTTCCCACACGCTGAAGGATATCGAGGCCCGATAAGCCGAGAACAGGAGCACGAATGAGGAAGAAGAAACCCTAGGCAGACACCAGGCCAGACTTGAGAGACAGAACTCCTGCATGGCTCACATAGACTGCGGGGGCGGGGAAGCCCCACCTCTTCCCCTTGTAAAAAATGTATAGACTCTGCACATTTTGAAATGTTTTGTATATTATATGTTGAGATTTTTCAGATCTTTTAGCCCAGTCATATGTTCTCACGTCTCCTACTTTTTCTTTCTCGTATAAAACTTTTTGATTTGAACCAAAACAGTGAAGATGACAACACACACCAATTGGATGATAATTTTGGGGGGGCGGGGGGAGAAGTCCACGCCATCCATCATGCAGAATTCTTTCAGATGAGGTGGGAAGACAGACAGTGTACATAGTTATGTAAAAAGAGATTGCTTCATGAGCTAATGGTTCATATATGCAAAAGGGTAAGATGAAAGCTTTACTTTGTACAAATGTAAATAGATAAAGATTAAGTAACATAATACATTAATACTTCTTAAAATGTGCTACTTGCAAACTTACTTAATATCAGTGAACACAGTCGGCTAAGGCTGTGTTCCCATATATTGTTATAGACAGCTAAACCCTTCAACTATGCAATGAATGTTCGGGCTTTTCACAAAAGCCCGCCTAACTCAAAGGAGCCTTTTCAAATCCATTTACAACATACTTAAGGTCATATTTTCCCTGAACAAGCGCTTACGTGATATGACTCTGTTTTCCTTGCTTGTTTTTTTTCAAACGGAGAAACATCCTATTTTGCAAATTGGACCCCAGGCTGGAACTTAGCATCTGAAGTTGCCGCTTGTGGGCTCTGGGGAAAAGTGCAGCCCCGGAGAGGTAACTGAGGACATGAGCAACCGGTGCCAGGGAGGGTGGGATTCGCCAGATGCCAAAATCAGGGGACGGGTGGTGGTGTCTGTCAGACACACACAGGTCGCCAGTGACTTCACACACACCTCATGTGAGAACCATGCCTTTTTTAGTGTGTCCTATTTCATACCTGTACACACTTCCTCGTTTTGTAATGAGATTTACTTACACCCAAACAGATCCTGAAAGAAAGCTTCAAGTTTTCTCAGATGATGGATATGTTTTCACTGTATTCAATAACTGACCGATGTAAGGTGCACGTTTCCCGATGTGACGCACTGTATTCCAGCTGGTGATCAAGTCTGGGAATAGCCGTAACAGGTCAACCTTGTGGAGCCATCGCGAGTTAGAGGGTGAAAGATGGCAGAAAAAAAGTCTTGTGTGTGAGTGTGTTTTTTGAGTTTGCATCAATCTTAATGTCTCTTCATAATACTTTTATAATACATTAAGCCTCTTGTCTACATATTTGGAGAGAATATGACTTTACTAGCAGAGAAATACAATATATCTTGTCTACTGGACTGTAAAATATATGTATGAAATAAAATTAGTTCCATTTGGTCTTCTAGTATATTAAAGTGCTATCTGACGTTGTTATCCTGTTTTTGCAAAAAAAAAAAAAAAAAGTTAACTACAGACCATTGTTTCTAATAAGCAGAGAGATCTATTTTAGTAGTAAACTGAAGGTTTAGTTGTGAGCTTCAGATTTTGTGAACTCCAGATGTTGTGCGGTGTTTTTTTTTTTTTTGTTATTTTGTTTTTTTGTTTTTTTTTTTTTCTTAACGACAACAACTAAAAAAAAAAAAAATCCAAGGAATATGTACACTGGAACTGTAGTGGTAGCTTTCAGTATTGTAAAGAGATTGTTCTATACGGACCTTTTTGCTGTTTATCCTGTATGTAATAAAGTCCTTTCTAGATCCTATGTGAAAAGAAAAGTGAAGCAACTGAATCTTCAGCATGTTCTCATCGGCGGAGCCTTCTTGTGTAATGTAAACTGTGCCATGTTATTAAAAAATGTGAACTAAGCTTCCAGCTGCTTGTTTGTGTGAGGTGACCATCATTACCTTAGGGAGGAAGCCATCCCTGTACAAGACCGGGCTCATGAAAAGAAATACCTCGAACCCAGCCTGCGTGAGAACAGAAGGCTCACCTGCCGTGGCTGACCACCCTACCCAACTCGGTTAGTGTCTCACCAATTCGTTACTGTAAACATTTGCACCCCACACAGTTGCTTGTGGTTGGTTTTTTTTGTTGTTGTTGTTGTTTTGCCAGGGGGGGGTGTTCTGTTCATTTTTTGTATGTCCAAAATGCTGTAAAAGTCAGGTACTTCTGGATTTTATAGACGTTTGTACCATGTGGGCCACGTTAGCCAGTTCTGTTTGTGCCTCTGAGCTACTTCAAAAGTCAGCGAAAGTGTTTGCTTTTCCAGCAGTGATGAGAAATCTGACCCAGGGCCTGTGACAACAGTTTTTGCTTGCCCATTCCATTGTATTTCAGTATCTGTGGACTCAGTCAGTCTTATGTTACTTAAGACCTTCCAGATTTTTTTTTTTTTTTCCTGTCTTGGCTTTTTCTCTCTTTTAATTATGTGGTGTAGTCCTCATCAGTTTGCAGTCTCCCTGTCCTCTAAAATCTGTGTGTTTTTTTTCCATGATGTAAAAAAAAAAAATTGTTAAATTTTCTTGTATCGACCTGATGAAATTGCTATTTGGATGAGATTGTTTGCATGGGTGTTTGTATGTTACTAGGGAAAAAGCAAAAGCAGTTCCAGTTAGCAAGATCTGGGTAGCTGCTGAATGGGAATCAGATAGAAATGTTCAGAAATTGTGGGGCAGGTCTGTGGCTGGCGAGTGCTGTGGACTCCTGTGGTTTCACAGGGCATCTGAGAAGTGTGTCCAAAGCCCTGGAAAAGTCAGTCCAGGGTGAGAAAAGGGCACGGAGAAGGCGGTCCAGTTGCAGACATCCGCTAATCCGGGCAGAGCAGGGACTTCTTGAATAAAAGCCCATTTCACTCAGTCCTGTTTTCCTATGTTAATACCTGACTCCAAACTGGACAAAATAAGGAAGAAAAACCCAGTGGATTGGAAAACAAGATAAAACACTGTGTTTTTCCAATTCAGGCACTTCTCAGGACCCTGCAGACAGTAGCAGTGGCGCCTTGCTTTGCTATTTTTCACTGCTGCAATTGTACACGTATTTTGACGTCGTCATCTGCCATGTCAGAACATAGGAGAGTCAAACTCTCAAATCAGCCACGGTATTTAATCCCCAGGGCTTCATTCATCTCACCCTTTGCATATTTTCCCCCTAATTACGCCCAGCTCCTCGGCACTGATGGGTACCAGCACCAATTTGATTTCCTGCTAACCTATAGATACTCTAATTATCTCCCCCATCTTTGACTGACAATGATCTTGTTACCTTCTAATGGTACATGACAGGTAAAATAGCGAATATAATGATGCAATAATTGCCACTTTGGATGGATATTTGCCACAGCATTTGCTGTTTATCCATTTTTCTGCCTCAATCAAGGTAGATGAGGGGAAATAAGATGCATTCTTTACATATGTAGCATAAAAAGAAGTTGAAGCATCAAATCAGTTGAAGGAAAGAGGACAACAAATGTAACCTGGGCTTTTTCATATGTTTTTAAAATTCTGCCATCCTCTCTGTGCATTCCTGATTTTTTTTTTTTTTTTTTTTTTTTTTTTTGATACTGAGTCTTGTTCTGTTCCCTAGGCTAGAGTGCAGTGGCACGATCACGACTCACTGCAGCCTCCACCTCCCGGGTTCAAGTGATTCTCGTACCTCAGTCTCCCGTGTAGCTGGGTCTACAGGCGCCCGCCACCACGCCCAGCTAATTTTGGTATTTTTGTTAGAGACGGGGTTTCACCGTGTTGGCCAGGCTGGCCTCAAACTCCCAGCCTCAAGTGATCTTCCTGCCTCGGCCCCCCAAAGTGCTGGGATTTCAGGTGTGAGCCACTGCACCTGGCCTGAAAAATTCTTAAACACGCAAAGTTTTCTTGCAATAAAATAGATAATATAATTTCCCTATCTGGAAAATAACCCTAAGACTGTCAATTCCACAATATGAAATTGCTAGTCTTTGCCACTGTCACAGGTACTAAGCTAAGGTTTTTGTATCTCACGCCCAAAATGCTACAAGTTTCTGATGATGAGCTTGGTGGGGAGGAGTCCATGGGCTGCAGTCATGAGGGCTGAATCCACCCCTTGTGCCTTCACGTTCACTGACCCCATGCACAAAGAGCTTCTTTGGAACTCAGTTTCTTAATGTGTAAAATGACACAATCTGAACAAAGTGAAGCCTAAAACCATGAAGGTCGTAAGCCCAAAATTCATCAGCGTGGCGTGGATGGAATTTTGCTGTGTGCAGTCCCAGGGTTTATAGAAATTGTGGACTGGGTAGAGAATGGCCTACAGCCCACACAAAAAGGAAAATAACTTTTTCTAAAACTTTAGTGGCAGCCAGGAAGGGTGGCTCACGCATGTAATCCCAGCACTTTGGGAGGCCGAGGCGGGTAGATCACTTGAAGTCAGCAGTTCGAGACCAGCCTGGCCAACATGGTAAAACCCCATTTCTACTAAAAATACAAAAATTAGTTGGGCATGGTGGCGGGCGCCTGTAATCCCAGCTACTTAGGAGGCTGAAGCAGGAGAATCACTTGAACCCGGGGAGATGAGGCTGCAGTGAGCCAAGATCGCTCCACTACACTCCAGCCTGGGCAACAGAGTGAAACCCTGTCTCAAACACCAGCAAGTCCGGGCACGGTGGCTCACGCCTGTAATCCCAGCACTTTGGGAGGCCAAAGCAGACAAATCACGAGGTCAGGAGTTCAAGACCAGCCTGGCCAACATGGTGAGACTCCGTCTCTACTAAAAATACAAAAAATTAGATGGGCGTAGTGGCAGATGCCTGTAATCGCAACTAATCGGGAGGCTGAGGCAAGAGAATCACTTGAACCTGGGAGGCGGAGGTTGCAGTGAGCTGAGATCAGAGCCACTGCACTCCAGCCCAGTGACAGGGTGAGACTCTGTCTAAAACAAACAACAACAACAAAAAACTTTAGTGGCTAAAGATTTGCTGGAATGTTTGGCAAGTCCACAGGGAGTGAGTGGGTGATTACAGGGCTTCTAACTCACAGCTGTTTCTCACCTGGTAAGGGGAGGGGCGGATTAAAACAGCATCTGGTTAAGGCACCCAGGGTATTGTCAGTCAGAATCGCGACCTGCTGTTCTACCCAAAATGTGCCCTGATGCTGACAGACACAAGATGAAGCTTAGCCTCTGGGCCTGTGTTCAGAGAACTCTGTGGCCTGGAAGAACAGAGGCCGGATCAGAAGCCTTCAAATCCTGGGTTTGTGTGCTGTGCAGTTATTGGGCGAATAGGCCTTAGTTTCCTCATCTGTAAGTTGAATTTGTTGGGTGATGTTGAAAAGCCTCTTCAAGCTCTGTTTGGATTTTGAATTTTGCGTCTCTGTTCAGCCTCAGTTTTTTTGTTTTTTTTTTTTTTAAGGAGACAAGATCTCACTGTGTCACCCAGGCTGGAATGCAGTGGGGCCTTCATAGCTCACTGTAGCCTCCAACTTCTGGACTCCAGGGGTCCCCCCACCTCAGCCTCCTGACTGACTGCATCTACAGGTGCACACCCCCATACCTGGCTCATTTTTTTATTTTTTGTAGAGACCGGGTCTCGCTATGTTGACCAGGCTGGTCTTGAACTCCTGGTCCCAAGTGATCCTCCTCCTCGGCTTCCCAAAGTGCTTGGATTCCAGGTGTGAGCCACTGCACCTGGCCCCCACCTTATTTATTTATTTATTTATTTATTTATTTATTTATTTATTTATTTTTGAGATGGAGTCTCGCTCTGTTGCCCAGGCTGGAGTGCAGTGGCACGATCTCGGTTCCCTGCAACCACCGCCTCCCAGGTTCAAGCAAATCTCCTGCCTCAGCCTCCCAAGTAGCTGGGATTACAGGCATGTGCCACCATGCCCAGCTAATTTTTTTGTATTTTTAGTAGAGACAGGGTTTCACCATGTTGGCCAGGCTGGTCTTGAACTCCTGACCTTGTGATCTGCCCACCTCGGCCTCCCAAAGTGCTGCGATTACAGTTGTGAGGCACTGCGCCTTGCCCTCTCCGGCCCCTTTTTAAACCTGATTTACTTTCTCACATCCTGCACTCCAGCAAGGCCAAGTCAGTTGCTATTCCACACGCTTCCTGGCAGCATCTTATCAGCATCTGTCTGCAGTATCTTTTACCTCTTTCCAAAGGCCCTGGTGTCAGAATCTGAGCCCCACTAAAGGTCAGCTCAAAGCCATCTCCGTAAATCCCTCCCTCTTTGGGCCGTCTTAGGGCCTGGGTTGCGCTCCTCCCCCACCCTCCACTCAGCACTTCCTGTTCTGCAGTTCCACACCTCTCTATCTGGATCCTCAACTCCTGGAGGCAGGGGCCTGTGTTAGATGCTCCAGGGGCCACCCCTGGACTGGTTCACTGAACAGAGTAGGCTTCACAGAGCCCCATTTTTAATGAACTGCAACCCGCACACATC